ATCAACACACAACGGCAAGATAGGGTTGCAAAGTCTCGCAAGGAGGATTCAATATCTTATATCTATCTAAAACCATCATTCTGGTCTTTGGATCTCTTCTCTTGGGGTCGCAGTATCTCAGTGGATGTTGCAGCAAGCTGCTCGCCGGCTATAAGCCCCTGTCTCGTCTTCTACAGTTGTGTAGGTATCGACGAACTCGTCGTCACCCCCGCTTCTGTCCAACTGTCTTATTATAAATCGAAGCTTCTGCACCACTGCCTCCCTTTCTCTTACTCTCCACATCCAAGACTGCCCCGCAATCACTTGTGTCATCTCCAACAAAGCTTCATCATTACTCACAGCGTTCGTATTACACTCTTTGGTTGTGATAAAAGTATCCCTCTTGGTCTCCCAACTATCCACCACTTTGGTTGTAGCAGCGCTGACTCTGACCTTTCCCTTCTACTTCTGCCTCGTCTGTAGCCATCTTCCACCGACCGGCATGAGCTCGAGCTCGAGTAGATCGTGAGTCCCGTCCCCTTCTTTCTCCATACTCCACTGACAATAACAACTTCGCCGGTGCTGCTATTGCGCCTTCAGCCAAGTGCCCCCCTCTAGGAGCTGAGTTTGTATTCATTACAACTACGGGTATCCTTTTCGCACACTTTGTATCCACCATATGAGTACCGACACCTCGCTCTGCTAACAATTAAGTTTTGGTCGCCGGGCGCCATGCACGACGCTCTCTTCGTCAGCAGTGGCGTTATCGTCAGGTCGATGCTACGACACCTGCCCACCAAGCGAGCAACCATTATGTTTGTTGATCGGGATGTCTTTCCCTTTGTCGCGATTCGAGACCTCAACCACTAATCTTGTTCTAGTTTCGCCTGCCCACTACCGCTCCCTCTCGCTCATAGTTCCCGTTCCCTACAACCCTCCCTCGTATCATGGCGGCAAATGCCGGACCACATGGAGCTTGCCATCATCACTTGGCGAGGTCACTTATACTTCCACGGCTCTGCAACATGACGAAGGATCTTCAGCGCGTATGTGTATCTGATCCTTCGTCGCTGGCTGACAATTTTGCAGGGTGGGATGGCAAAATCTGACTCTGGCTCCCCGTCGCCACCTCCTGTTAACGTCTCTTCTCTTCAGAGAAGGATGGCTAAAAGAGCTCCAGTATGCACCTTGGTGCATGGTGCAACGGCATCGCCCTTGCTGTCGTCGCTGGTCTTCCAAGTGGTTTCCACGACTGGGCACAAGCGATTGACACTGCTCTGCGCACCTCTCTCGCCATTACTGCTTGTCGATCGCTCCACTCGCCAGTAGTTATCGACGAGGTCCAGTCCCACTACACCCTGATCATTGTATGCCCTACTGGTTCAACAAGGACCAGCAAAAGGCGCTCACTGAGATACAAGGCGACCTGTGCGCAGTAAGTCGCATAGTGTTGTGCTGTAAGTCGCGGAAGTGGCTAGAGCGCCATCCGGACCACAAGTGATCGATGATAGTTGTCGGCCTGGAGTCTGACAGCCGGAATGCTATCCTGGGCGCAGTGAGTCGCGTAGCGTTGCAGGATGGCGGAGGCAGCCGTAAGTACACTGAGTACCTCTTGGATCTGCCACCATACTAACGAACAACAGAAGATCGCAGCCGTTGGGGCTGCTGAGGCTGCCGAAGCCTTGTGGAGAATGGTCAGATTCAGATGCGGGTTGAGGATCCGTTGCCACAGGATGAGAATCTTCTCGACTCACAACCTATCCATGACTTCACTGCTCGGACTATGGTACTTATGTTCAAAGAAAAGTTCCAGCCTCTCTTCGCAAAGGATCGGAGAGCTTGGAATCGAGCATAGTGATTCCCACATCGTCTTTCGCTGCGCCATCATCCGCTTTACCGCCCGAGACTCCTTCCTCTACCGGCAACCTCTACACGCCTCTAAGCTACGAACCGCATGCTGCTATAATTGTCAGCTCCTGCGACTATGATGTCTGCGTGTCTTCTATCGGCAATGTCGAGACGTGTGGCCCTGGGTTTCTGACCATCTCGAGCACCGTAGCTTTGCCAGATCAGCAAGGAGTAAGCAGTTTCGTGGCATTATGGCCGCGCGAAAGACATCCCGCCCATAGCAGATGAGAAGCCTTCAGAGTCCACTCTGAGGAACCCTCAACTATGATAGAGATGGTGAGTCTTCCTTTCCAACTTGCCGTTGATTCCAGTCACTAAATCTTCACAGATCCATAACTTCTACATGATCCCATGCGGTGTTCTTTGCTGGCGTGATGTGTGATGCTTTTGTCCTGGATGCAGACCGCGTTGCTTCTTTATTAATCCCGGTAAGTCGGCATGTCTCAACCTTCCATCTTGAATGCTTGAACTGACTCTTCCACTCTCTTTCCCCCCTGACAGCTCCAGGTCGGCGCTTTGTGGGGTGGTGCGATGCTCTTCTGAAGTTACTTCCTCGCAGTAGCATCAAAGTCCATATCGCCAACCTTTGAAGATTATCTCTCTCCCAAGCCCTTGATCCGATGCTAGTTGTCTTGAGTATCGCGTTCGAAAGTGGTGGCAGCAATCTTGTGAATCCCGCTTCATCTTGATCAGATGCTTATCCGGTCTTGCCCCTTCCGAGTTGGTGCTCCACGATAAGTACTCTGACGACCTCGAAACAGCAGAGTGCTAATTCTGCGCAGTTTGCCCTTTTCAAATTGTTCACACAACCCCTGCCTTCAATTTTTCCGCAGTGCAATCGATGCGCATCGAGTCGGCGCGGAGTAAACGTGGTTGTTGACATGCGTCATGCTGCGAAGCCGCGACTGCTTCATTCGCGAAGGCAAGAGCTGGAGACTAACAGGTTTCCCAACCCAACGATGACACCTCTCATGCTCCTCCAGGATTCTGATATTGATGTCGCATGTGGCTATGGTAAGCCTCATCTACCCTCTGTCATTACAAGCACACCTGTTGACATTGCTGCAGATGTCTTTTGGTCGAGCATGATCGCAGCAGCAAGCTCATAGAGCTTTCTTTCTATCGTCTTGCGTTTTTCTACTTACTCTCCATCCTCTTTGTCCAGTTTTTGGAGAATGTCATCGCCGCAGGAGGGGTAACCCCAAAATCGGGGTATCTTCCCGACTTGGCCGGATCTCTGATCGTCCCAAGGACTTTTGCACAACGCGTCAGTTCCGCCCATGTCCGTAAAGACAAAGACGACAAGACCACAGATCACAGACGTAACGATGCCATTGCGATGCGAGGTGATGGCAGGATCGCTCCTCCTCGTGTCGTGAGGTAGGTGATGGATAAGTCGCTACATCGAAGATTCGTCCGAAGCCCATCTGCACAAGCCTTGCTGACATCGACCAGCCTTCTCATTATCTGCCAATCATCCTCGATCCAGTCTCCTTACTCGCCGGCTCCGTCTCAATTGCTAGCGCGTGTCACGCGCCGCCTGTTGCCTTGATCGCCACGCACGAGCCTAAAGAGCGGTCGCTCGACAAACATCACCACAACACAATACTGGCAATATATACCGTTTTATTTGTCTATTCTTCGCCTTCGGGCATTTGGTCAATTTGAAACGATACAGAGAAGATTAGCATGGCCCCTGCACTAAGGATGACACGCTCAATCAAAGAGAAGCTACCATTTTTTTTTTTGCGTTCTTTTTGCCCATGCATCCAGGGGGATTCGAATACCCAAGGCGACGACAGCACGGGCCTGCTGCTCGCCCTTTTTCCCCGCTCTCTTTTTGCCTTCGACGCCGGCGACATGAGTGTGGCTATACGGTTTCCAGGCTCATTGGGTATTCATTCAAGCCCACGAGTGTCTTTATATTCCATCTGCTTACTGCCGCTAACATCAAAACGCCCTTCGAAGATTATCATTACAGCCTGCTGTTGACATTGGCTCGACATCCTTACCGTCAGCTTGACATCAGTACCCCAGGAGGTATACGCAACTCCACAATGTTTGCTGTCAGCGACTCAAAGTACTGTGAAGGTAATCACGCGCTTGTCTTATCCTTTCTTTTTCATGGCTCGTTTTTGTCAGCTCCTCCTATGGTTGTCCCTTTTTTGATATTCATGCGTCCGCCTTTCCCAACCTCAACGATATTCAACGATTTGCTCTGTCTTTTGCATTTTCATCTACCACATCACCACCCCCGGGACTGTTGTTACCCATATTCCACTACCGCACGGCATCTCAGAAAGGACCTACTGCTTCACGGCGATAGTCGTGTCTCAGAAACGAAGCCAAGAAAAAACCGAATCGTATTGCTTTGTCTTCCGAACCCTTGTAGCAGGGATGGATGGTGATGCTCTGTTCCAACATTTCCACGTAGAAAATCGATATGTTCCGCCACATCTTCGAAACATGCCATCCTACGTGTGCAGGCCTTGCTCATCAGATGGGTGGTTCTCATGTATCGTGTTGTAATCTCTGATATGACGAGAAGCATCCAAAAGTTGACGATATGTGAATACGAAAGCAGAAACAGCATCACAATAAATGCTGGAAGATTGTGGGTGACGATTAACATGAAATGAACAGAAAGACATTCTGCAGATTGCCGAGTGGAAATAGGCAGAACATACGGAAATTTGTACATAAGAAAGACTGAGACAGAGTATACGCATTATCAAATGACGAAGTAAACTAAAGCGTCAGGCTGGACCAGAGCGACTCCAGAACGTGGAAGAAACTCAGGTCGTAAACTACAAGAATTATCAGCGAACGTTGGGTTGCGAAGACCTCAATCGACGCTGATTGGCTGACAAGGTTGGCGCTGTGGGACCTCCGCTCCAAGATCCGCATCTGCAAATCGTCACGCCGCGACACCACCACCGTTGACGTCGGCATCACACATCTCCGCCTGTCGCAATGGCGAAGAAAGGTACGCGCTCCTGCTCTCGCACTAGATGCTCTCCTCAAACACCTGCTATACTACCCCGGCCGATCCCCAATGCGGCCGCCTGCAACGCACATCTTTGCCTGCCCGCGCTGACAATGGCACCTCACAGCAAAGTCCCGTACCATTATGGTGCGCCTGATATCCATGGCCATGACGGGCTACTACCGGACCATGCAAAGACCGCGTGCGCACCAACCGCTGAGCATGCTCAAATACGACCCAATCGGTACGACACCATCGCTCTTTCATTTCTTCGAACATCGTGCCTGCCTCATGTACAAAATCTCGCTAGGAGCCGGGCACGCGCAACTGAGGAAGAGAGTGGACTTTTTTTTACATGAAGGGAGACGCATGGAGACACAGGAACACGGCTGACAATGCACAGTGCGGAAACAAGTACTCTTCCTCGAGGCGAAACGCGGCAAGAAATAGAACAATTTTTACATCACGAATCAAGCGTACACGAATTGAGAATGTGCGGCGGGCATGGCGAACACTGGTTCAGGACTATGGAGGGGATGAGAACGGTAGAAGGAGATGGCGCATCGCAAAGATGGAGGACTCGGCAACCATGCCTACCATCTGGAGCCGCCAGCAGGCATGGAGCAAGTTGCATGCTTGCACACATATGTACTATACGGTCAGCATGGCTCGGCGTTATATACGGGTCAAGGCAGAGCATGTCTGCCACACAACACGCACAATTTCTCACACGGACTCACACCCACCCTTTTCTGCTTCATCTCACTAATCGTCCGACAATGCTCACCTTTATTCACGTCTTCTCCCGCATTCATGTCCCGATTGCCGAGACGAGGACGTCCGCCAAGGTACAGGCTCCGCCCCGCTGCTTGTCTGGCCTCTTGGCCCGACTTGGTGTGCGCGAAAAACTTCGAAACTGGGTCGGCTTGCCTAAAAAGGTCGTTCCGGCTTCGTGAAGGCTTGGACTACGTCGCCGATGGGCTCTTTACCAGCCACAAATTACCCCATACATGGTTTTGCTAAGACTCTGGGGTTGCAGGTGATGGGAAATGGCGGAGTCGGCATCACTCTTGGTCTCATCTGTCTACTGGCAGGATAGCCGAGCTTGCGGAAGCGCAAAAGTATAAGATGGTGCTGATCGGTAGCAGTTTAGGATGTTTATGAGCTAGAAGTTTATTGACTATTACAGTCTCAATATGGATCCCGAGAAGATTGACGAGAAACGCTCGGAACATTCCCCTGACACACGCATCGACAATCTCAACTATGAAAACTCCTCGTCGTCACAGGCCGCAATCGAACAACAAAAGTTAGCATCACAACCATCCGGCATACTAGGGACCTTCTCCAAACTTGGCAATCTACCAGAATGGCACGTCCCAGGATTTGGTCTGCTGCAGGGGAAGGCGCTGAACAATGCCATCTCCTGGTGCTCCTGTCTAGCCTTCCTCATGTTCGGTTACGATCAGGGTGTTCTGAGCGGAGTCCTTACCCTCGATGATTTCCAACGCCACTTCCCTCTCATGACACCTCGCGATCGTCCAAACAACCTTTGTTGGCTCGATGCACCGACCAACACCATACCCGACCCGAACATGTGCACAGGTAGCCCGAGTATCCTGTCTGCGTGTGTCGCGGTCTATCAAATCGGATGTTTCCTAGGCGCTGTTCTCATCTTGTTCTATGGCGAGACTTGGGGCAGAAAGAGCAGTAGTTTCTGGGGCAGCTTCATCATGATTGTTGGAACCATCATTCAAGTAGCCGCAGGAGGTACTTCTGGAGGCGGGGTCGACGGATATGCTCTGCTGAGTATTGGACGTGTTGTTGGTGGGATCGGTAACGGCATGGTCACAGCGAGTGAGTACTGTATTCATAACGACGTATTGCCGTCAGCTAAACATGTTTGCAGCAATTCCCACGTGGCAGTCCGAGTGTGCGAAACCCGAGAAGCGTGGACGTTTGATCATCACTTCGGGAGCAGTCATCGTCGCAGGAGTTATGATATCTTACTGGGTCACCTATGGCTTCTATTTCCTCCCATCAGGCGAGTCTTACTCGTCTGTACGCTGGAGGTTTCCCATCGCATTCCAGTCATTTTTCACAGTCCTCGTCATGTACGCAACTCTCCCATACCAGATCATTGCGCTCTAGATGATACTAATAGCATCCAGGATCGGCCTCTGTTTCCTACCAGACTCGCCACGATGGCTTGTAATGCGCGGTCGCCACGCCGAAGCTCGACACCTACTCGCTCGCCTTGCCGATGCACCAGTAGACTCGGAGGAAGTAGACACGGAACTCACGAACATCAAGGATGCGCTTGAAGCGCAAAGCAAGGACGGCCCATTCAAAATGAAGGAGCTTTTGTACAACGGGCCAAGTCAGAACCTAAGGCGTACGCTGTTAGGTGTTGCCGCACAGTTCTTTCAACAGATATCCGGGATCAACCTCATTGTACGTACATCGTCACACACTAGTTCGGAGAAGAGACTAACCCAAGTTCCTCCCAGACCTACTATGCGACCTACGTTTTCGAGAACTCGCTTGGTTTCGGACCAGACATGTCTCGTCTCTTGTCCGCCTGCAATGGTACCGAATACTTCTTGGCTGGTCTGGTCGCCATTCCATTGATCGAGCGTGCTGGTCGCCGCAGACTCATGCTCTTTGGTGCATTCGGCATGATGGCTAGTATGGCTATCATGAGTGGTATGACATCGACAGCCAGCGAGAATGAGTTCGGTGCTCCAGTTCTAGAGCCCAAGTACGGTATCACAGCTGTCGTATTCATGTTCGCCTTCAACACCTTCTTTGCCATCGGTAAGCAGCATCTCCTTGGTAGAGCTTCGATATACAAGACCATTTTACTAATCCTTCACACAGGTTGGCTGGGAATGACGTGGTTGTACCCTGCTGAAATTACCAATCTCCGCATCCGCATTCAAGCAAACGCGCTCTCCACATGTTCCAACTGGATCTCAAACTTCCTCATCGTTATGATCACCCCACCTGCCTTCGCCAATCTACAATACAACACGTATACCATGTTCGCCGTCTTCAACGCTTGCCTTATTCCAAGTGTCTACTTCTTCTTCCCAGAGCCAAAGGGTAGGAGTCTAGAAGAGCTGGATGTCATCTTTGCAAGTGCGCATCATGAGGGCATCAACCCGGTCAAGCAAGCGAAGGATATGCCGAAGTTGACGGGGAGGGAATTGGATGTACAGATTGCGAGATATTTCGGAGGGGATTTTGAGGAGGCGAGACGAAGAAGTGTTGTGAGTGCTGGGATTACTACATGATGTGACGCGGGATGTGTAGGTGGGCTCTCTTCGGAGATTTAGTAGTAAAGCACTCTATCCAACACAGTTCTCACTGCTGGGGAATTAACAGATAATGGAGCTAGCATATTGTAAACTGGTGCTCCAACACGGCCACGCAGACCCATGCGCTTGGAGCCGCGTCGTGCCGGATTGATGCATGTAAGAAGTTGTGCAGTTTTGATCGTACCCAAGTGTGCCCAGGAAGTCGCGAGCTGGCCACTGCTCCAGCTATTGCCAAACGACCATGCTGACAGATTGCGAATGGTCCGTGGATCCGGCACATCTCTCCAATTCATGCGGTATCAGACTTCCTGATAGCACCAAGGTAACGATAAAGTTCTATAAAACCCGGTGAACACCTACTGATGGGAGCTAGCGCGGTACTATCTCGGCTGCCGCGTGGGTGGGGCTTTTCCGGCCTCTTCCCCTCTTTCCTCCTCCACCCAGACCGTGTCTGACCGTGACAACGACATCCAACTCCGTCCCAACTTCGTGTATCATGCCAGAATCATGACGTCGATAAGCTTTGCCCGCCCCGGCAACAAGCAAAACAAGCCTTGGCAGATGGCCTTGTTCCGCCGCTGTGCATAGCGAGCTTCTACTTTGGGTAAAGAGCTTACAGGGCCATGCGCGCTGCAGCAAGCTTGAGCTCGTTGACGTGAGGCTTGAACTTCAGCGCAAAATTGTCGCAAACATCTCGACAAATCGGCCTTATTCGTACTGTTGAAAAGAGTTATGCCGGGAAAAGAAGGATCAGCAAGGGGAGACTGCAGTTACTTGTTGCATCCCTTGCTGACAATGGTAGGGTAGAGTGACACGACAAGTCATCTATCGGTTACGTACCGGTACAGCCTAGCCGAGATTCCCAACTATTCTTCTCCCACGCACAGCCCGAGGATCTTCAGAGACAGATGTTATCCGTCCAATGGTCGTGTACAGAGCATCCGCAGTTGCCTGATGCAGACTAATTTCCTGTGCGCGACCATGTAGTCTGACGTTGGCCCCGACTTTGAGCAAGGGATTACGAGGCGGAAGGTTGCATGCAACGCTGCTTGACCTCGTTCTGGGGCAGTATTTATAAAGATGCAGAACCCGCTACTTAGCTGGGCAAGCACTTGCTGAAGTCTTGGTTACTCTTTTCCCCGACAAGCTTCCCAACATGGCGCGCTTCACACAACTCGCCACCGTCTTGGCGGCTGCGTCTCTGGCCAGCGCCCGCGCACCTTTCATCAAGGAGCGCCAAGTGCCCGCTGATCCTACTGGCGTCACGACAATTACATCTGCCGCAGGTGCTAAGATCACGTACAAACAGCCTGGTAAAGCAGGTGTGTGTGAGACTACCGAAGGTGTTGACGACTATGCCGGCTACATCAGCCTCAACCCAACCACCAACATGTTCTTCTGGTTCTTTGAGGCTCGAGAGAATCCGACAGAGAAGCCACTGGTAAGCAGAATCTCTGGGAGAAATTATAGTAATCTTCACTGACCATTTCCCCAGACGCTGTGGCTGAACGGAGGCCCTGGAAGTGACTCTCTCATCGGACTGTTCCAAGAGCATGGTCCCTGCAACGTTACCGAAGACCTGAAGACACAGCTGAACCCCTACTCATGGAACGAGCACAGCAACATGCTGTACCTCTCACAGCCCGTGGGTGTAGGGTTCTCTTACGAGACCACTGAGACAGATGAAGATGGCCGCTACTCACTTGTCGATCCTGACACCGCAAACACGACCGATGCTGCAGCCATCGGCGCATGGCATATTCTGCAGGCTTTCCTGGAGCTGAGCCCACAGCTCGACCCTGATATTACCAACTTCACTTTCAACCTCTGGACTGAGAGGTAGGTTCTCTCTGAGTATGAAATTGAGCATATTGCTAACCAAGTTACTAGCTACGGAGGTCACTACGGCCCAGGTTTCTACAACTACTTCTATCAGCAGAACCAGAAAATTAAGAATGGCTCAACCGCTGGTGTCGAAGTTCAGATGGACACTCTTGGTGTTATCAACGGTATCATCGACGAACAGATTCAGGCACCTTACTACCCTGAGTTTGCTGTTAACAACACTTACGGCATCAAGGCGGTCAACGACACTGTCTACACCTTCATGAAGAACGCCTACTACATGCCTGAAGGTTGCCACGACCAGATCGAATACTGCAAGCAATCAGACCGCACTACCGAAGATGGCTACCTCACGTGCGCAGAAGCCACCAACCTCTGCCGATCGTTGGTAGAAGAGCCTTACTACGCATTCGGAGGCAGGGGTGTCTACGATATCAGGCATCCTTACGACGACCCTACGCCGCCTGATTACTTCGAGTACTTCCTGAACTTGGCCTCTACCCAAGAGGCAATTGGCGTGAACATCAATTACACTAGCACCAACGCCGCAAATGTGTCACGCGGTTTCGCTTCGACAGGTGATTTCGTCTTCCCCAACTTCCTCGAGGACCTTGAGGAGATCCTGGGCTACGGTGTTCGCGTCGCTCTTCTTTACGGTGACGCCGATTACATCTGCAACTGGTTCGGTGGTGAAGCCGTCTCTCTAGCCGTCAACTACACCGACTCCGAGGCTTTCCGCGCCGCTGGTTACACCCCTTTCCTCGTCGACGGCGTTGAATACGGAGAGGTTCGCGAGTACGGCAACTTCTCGTTTACCAGGATCTACGAGGCCGGCCACGAAGTGCCATACTATCAACCAGTGGCTAGCTTGGAGCACTTCAAGCGTGTGTTGGATCATGTTGTTATTGCAGACGGTAGCCAGGTTGTCACGGATGACTACAGCACCAACGGCACGGCGAAGGCTACTCACACTGAGTCCTTTGTTCCACTGCCGCCTACCAGCACACCCAGTGCTGTGAGCAGGGTTAAGCGAAGCACTGCATAGAGCGGTGGTGAACGTGCTCATGCCGCATACTTATGCCAGGTACTATGCCACCCAAGCTACGACAAATGAAATGAGTACTAGACAACACACCGATCTGTGCATAGATTATTTTCTGCAGGCTGTGAGAAGTGATGATCACTTGAACTGACTGAAACCTTAATTAACGATCAGTTCCTCAGGCTTTTTGGGCGGCATCCCATGACGTCACGTGTCTTGATGCTGCACGAGCTGTGCACGTTTCCTCTGCTTCAACCACCATCACGATTTTAGCTCCCCACGCATATGTGTCGCAGCAGGTAAAACGCCTCTTCAAAAACAAGTTAGATATGCGCATGTCCAATTCTACGCGAATGGATCACCGCACCAGCTCCCGACGCGTAGGGTCGCTAACGCGCAACGTCCGCGTGCCTTAGTTCAGCCAGGTCCTAGAATGATCACCAATGCTGGTGTCAGGTACAGAGCGCCTTGCGTGAAACGTCAACAGATACATTTGGCAATGACAGGTTACAAGCGATAGGGTTCCTTTCCCTCGGTAACTTTTCCACCTCTCTCGCAGCAGGCGATCCGCAATGCCCTTCCTATACCGACCCAGTCCTGGAAATCCCTTCGAGTGAGACATGTCTGTCTTGCGCATGCAGCCAACGCCACCAACCCTGGCATCACGGTGCCGATTCAGGTACGACGAAACGCCGTCGTCATTGAGAGCCGACGGATGAAAAGGCTGCTATTGCGCCTAAACACAATGCCTCATTTCCCACTTTGGCACATCCTGAGCCCCAGGCTACGCGTAATGGTTGCACAATGGGTGAGTGGCATGTATACCCCATTGCAGGATCAGGAAGATTGAAGCGAAGCTGCATGCGGCGCGGACATCCTCACGGTGGACGAGTAAGTTTCTCAAGATCACTGTGTAGGGCACATGTTGACAAAATGCACTAGACGTCTCTTCGTAGACGAGCGCGCATGCAAAGACCCCACGATCGAGGACGAAAGGGATACATCCCAGTCATAACTATCGAATGATGGGTTGAACAACGAGAAGACATGTCACGATGATGACTTCCTCTTACTGGCAAGAGGGCGTGTTGACAAAACGCCATGAACAGGCGACCCTGACAACGAGTATGGGGTTCCACGCAACTGCTCAGCTTGGCAAGCGTATGGAGCACCCGTATCGTATTGTGCAGCTATTCGCCCGTCGCAATCATTTTGAATACTGTCGTTCGATCTACTATCGCAGCTGACGGACTCATCCTTAGCAGGTTCTGGTACCCAGCTGGTATGCCTTTGGCTAGTAGCTATTCTGCTGCGATCAGCGCAGCATACTGTACGCCACCGGTAGACGTGGACGTTAGTCTCCTGCCTGTGCAATAGGGTGCTGTTACACATGGTAAAGTGGGTGGCAACGGAGAGGAACAGATCGGAAATTGTTGCTTCTCAAGCTTTCCAGTTGAGACGCCTATCTCGAGGCGGCTGTATGCCTAGAGCACAGTTCCTAACTCTGAATTTCGTTTCCGCTCTGCGCAGATTGCGAACTAGTAACTGGTTTTTATACGCGCAAAACTCTGGGTCTATCGAGGTGTCATTGCTCACTCTTTCCGCAAGTATATGAAAGATTCAGTTCAGTCCTTGCCATGCGCACCTCTGCTGTTTCACACCCTTGTGTATGCTGTTTGGAAGTAGTCCTGGCCCGCTCTATCACCTCTGAAATCTGTCATTGAGTCAACAATTCTGTGGTCTGCTGGTGAGAACCTTCACTAGAGCCTATCGCAGAAAACTCGCTCCCGGCAGGTGAGAGAAGCCGTCCGTGCGCAAATGGATCTGTTTGACCTTGATCTCTTTCGCCTTTCGAATCGTTTGCAAGTACAACCAATAACACACAGCTCAAGAGAGATTCAAGCCCTTATTCATTGACACACGTACCCCGACCATGACCTCAACTTCGCAGTTGAACGACCCCAGCGTCCCGGATCCTGGCGGTGCATGCTTCTATCTCGACATTCCTCGCGAGTTACGAGACATAATTCACTCGTATGCCTTGACATATAAATGGGGCCTGGCTTGTGCACCGAACGGGCTTTGTCTCTCGACATTTAAGACTCCTCGCATGCCTGACCCATGGGGCGACTTTGGCTTGTCGAAAGCTCCTGCGCTTTGGGTCCCGAAACTCGAGCCCTTCTGGCCAAACGAACGTCCACCGAAGCGGGAAATTGAGGGAATTACAACGCTCGGCGATCCCAATTCACTTCGCCTAGTTTGTCACCAGACTCGTGCTGAGACACGCGGGCTCTTGTTAGACTTGAACAGAATTCGCTTCTGCTATCGAGTTGAACACCGCAAGTTCTATGAGTACGAATTCAGCAGGGAGATCGATATGAACGAGGTGTTCCGATTGTTCTATCAACAATGCAGCGCGACCAACAAGAATCGCCTCCGCCGGATAGAAATCGAGCGGACCTGTGACGCGATCATACAAACACCCGAGGCCCACAAAATCCTGGCAGGCTATATGCGCGACTACGCCCACCACAAAAACATCTCCTTTCTCTTTCGCCTTATACTAGTTGATACCTTCTCATGGGGTTTTTATAAGGAATTGACCCAGGTCTTCAGTCTGGTTTTCAAGGGACCACAAACTAGCCGTTTCGCTGCAGCATCGCTCAAGGAAGGAAAGGAGATACCTCAGGAGACGAAAATAAAACTTCTTAGACGGTATGGTTCGGCAACGGTACCACATGATGTGCAATTCTTGATACAAGAGGGTTCTTCAGAGCACGTGGTGAAAGCGTAGCGTGGGGCGCAGTGCGACAAAAGCGTATCGAGGTCGAGCGACAGGAAAAGCTCTGCACGTGTGTATGAATACATGAGCGAAATGAAAGGACTTTAAAGATGGTACCTAGATGACGTTGGGGTGGTGCCTGGATCGGATTTGCGGTGGAGATGGGGGGGAACTGGATTTTTCTAAAAGCTTTATCGGTTTAGTCGTCGGCTGTAGAGATACTGAAATGAGTCATATCATGGAGCTCTGATACAGGTACTGAACCAAGTTGTCATCGCGGCTTATCATGATGTCGTTCGTGTGCGTATACTCTACAATGTATGTTAAGATTCGTGCACGCCAGCTTACCACGACACTACGCTGCCGCACTATTCTCTGCTAGCACACCATTACTTGTCGCCATGTCTCCCATAGCCTTGCCACTCTGCTTCTGCTTACTCTTGAAGTATTGTGTGAAATCGTGTCTAACCTGATGAATAGTCTCTGCGATGCTCTTTCCCCACACCGGATCATCACTTGCCTTTTCACACATCTTGAAAAATTCCTTCCTCTTCTCTTCATGCGCTGGGTCCCAAAGGCGGTGAAAGTTTTCGCGCGACATGGGATCGATCATCTCGCGCCAGATCTTGATACGGATTTCGGAGTATTTATCGAGAATAGATTCGTCAAGTTCGTCGAGATGGATTCCAGTGAAGCAGTCGTAGAGGGAGCCAACGTCGGCGAAACCACCCGTCAAACCCATGCCGCCGCTATTGTTATGTTAGTAGAACAAGCGCATCAAGGGTGTCGATCACTTACAATGGGTTACATAGATGCGCCGCGTCAGCGACTAGTATTACCTTACCTACACGGAAACTGGGTGCGCATCTTTGTTGGAGTTTGTAAGGACTCATACTGACGAGCTTGTACTCATCAGGCTTTGGATGACCAGGGAGAATTTGCTCATAACGGAGCGGTTGGCGTTTGATGAGTTCTTCTTTCGAGAGATCTTCAGAGTCGCCGTATGTCACTCGCCATAAGCCGTCGTTTGTGATCTTAGCAGCCATATACCAGTCCGTTGGGTGAACAATGAAATTGGAATCCCAGTAGTCGTATCGCTCATCGAATGGTAGGTAGACCTAACATGTTAGCTGTCGAATCCATACTCAGATGCTTCAATCATACATTAGTAGCAACAATTTGCTGCTTCAGCGTCTCTCCTGGATACTCTTTTCCAAACAATGCAGTGCGAACACCACTTGATGCGCCATCGGCGCCTACCAGATAATCACCTGTGATCCTCTTTTCCTCGCCATTGCTCGTTTCCACGACCGCTGTAGCGCCATTATCATCTTGTTCTACGCCGACAAGCTTATGACCCCACTTGATTTCAGTATTGGGGTAGCTTTCGAAATGCTTCACGAGGAGCGGACCTAATTGATCTAGCGGCAGCACCACCATTGAGTATTTTGAGTCTTCTGGCTCGCGGCCCATGCCAGCCAAGAAGGTTGTGTCCTGCAACCGCCAACATACACCTCTGGGGTGAAGCCCGACTGCACGTACATCGTCTATGATGCCGGCGCGATGGAAGTCGTAAACTGCTGAAGGTGCATAATGAGCCGCTCTTGGGTTGCCATTGATCTTGGTATCTGCATCGAGGATCGTAACTTTGATGCCGAGATTTTTCGCAAGGAGGACTCCGAGCAAAAGACCGGAGGGACCAGCTCCGACAATAATGACCTGGTAGTGTTAGCGACAGGCGAGACGCTCACGTAGGAACAACGCAAACATACGTGATTGAGTTTCGGCATGGTTACGAATCGGCACTACTGCATGTGAATACTGTGAAAGCATCTGCTAACCAGATGTCATTCTTTAAGATGGCATGTCCCTCATGGTGGGGCTGTCAAATCCCCGCCTCCAAGGTTCTCCATCCTCATCTCAGAGACATTCGGCTGTGATGCAGGTGCGGGGAAGAGCTCGAGTGCCCCACATGGCAATCGACAAGAGGGGAAGGTGCACGTGATGCACTGAGTAATGACAGTGGAGCCAAGGGTCTAGGAGGGGTCGAATGCAAGGCTGGCGAAGCGTGAGCTATGACGTAGTCTCTGGAGAGGTGAGCGCGCGTCTCCCCTGATGATCGCAACTCCGGCATCAGACTGGACCCTGATACATCCTAACAAGCCATGGTTGCTAGAGCGAGCACGTCTTACGAAGATGGTGACGAAGACATTGCGATACA